GAGGCCCAAGATGGTGGGAGATTTGACTCAAAAAAAAAAAAAAGTGTTTTCAAAAAAAGAATTAATGACAAGAAAATGCTTATAATCTAATATTGATTTTAAAGAGCAGGGTACCTAGCAGTTAACCCTACTACTACTGGTTAAAAACTGAAGGGGGTACAAAGGGCTTTTGTTGGTCTTGACAATACTTTTATTGCTTGATCTGGATAATAGTTATAATAATACATTCACTTTGTAAAAATTCATTGCATTTACTCATCTGACCACTTACCCGTTTGTGGGTATTCAAAATATTTTACTTTAAAAAGTTAACTTTTTTTTTTAAAGTAGAACTCCAAAATAATATAAGGTCATATTCTTATTTTAAGAACCTGTATTTTTAAAGTGGCATGAAATACAGCAAAATGTTAATAGTGGCATTCTGGATGGTGAAATTACATGTGACTTTTATCTTCTTCTCTGCAACTTTCTCTTCAATAACAACAAAAAAATGATTTGTTATAATCAGGAGAAAAATTAAAAATGTAAAGAAAATGCTTTCTAAACTGTAAATATATACAATGTAAAGCATTATTCTAGCACAATGCCTGAAACATAATAATGCTGGATAAATCTGGAGTGAATGATTTCTCCCCTATCCTAGTACCAGGCAAGTACTCTTTTCAAAAAAGAAATGGGATTAATTGACACTCTTAGCTCCCAGGGAACCCACACTGGCTCTTAGCAATGATTGTCCTTATTTCTAAGCGCTAACAAGACACCTATGTAATGATTCTTCCCCAAATGTTGCCAGAACCAAATCTAGAAAATAACTACCACTGCCTCCCTCTACTTCCTCACAGTTCCTTCAAGGTTAGCCAATGGTCCTCTTCTTGGATTGAGGCTCCAAGTAATTTCAATCAGTTTGGTGCTTTTGATACTGCATCTCACCCCCTTGAGGGTAGAATGCCCCACTTCTCAACCATGACGGCTCTGCTACTCTCACTTTCTAAGCATGGAAATCACAGAATTCTGGCAGCTAGTATTATATCACTTGCCTTACCAGGCCCCCTTTAAAAAAACTGTCATACTACTACCACCACAAAACAAAACAAAGCTTCATTTATTTCCTTTGCATTTCTGGAAAAACGCTGGGAACTAACATTTCTAACATCACTCTTAGAGAACCATACCACAAACTGATGTTGCCCATGGTTTTCTGCCCTGTCTTTGCGGCCTTATCCTTTTAAATCTTAGCTGAAGGCTCAGCTCAGATCATCAGGAGAGGATGACAGTTTCTTTTAATGTCACACCCCCCGCCCCCACCGCTGCCCCACCACCTCCCAGCATTTTACTGCCCATTTCCCTCCCACATACTCTACATTTGGATCCCCCACACCACTTGAACTTTGATTTTTCAAGATGCAGTTTAATCCTTCCCCAAGGTCTCCCTGTGTGGAGGAAGGTGCTGGGTGTAAAACTCATTTGTGACACAGACTAGCTTTAAGTGATGAGCCAAATGATGGAAATGGGGCCTAAGGGGACAACAATGAATTAGCACTCTTCCAGTGCCATAAACCCTGGGTTGCCTCTGAGCGGCCAAGCTAGAAGCCCTGTTACAGGTTATCATCTAAAGTGATGTTTCTACTCAGATCACCTTGCCATCTGCTCTGTCAGCTGACTCTGGGGAACTAGTTAAGGGACTGGGAAAATAAACAAGTGATGAATGTGAATCTTCCAAGTCCATTTAAAACATACTTTAAATAGGTTGTGCTTTGCCCTCCGGGAACCTCTTTTACAGACTGCATGCCATGTTTTGTTTGAGGACAGAGGGCTTCCCTGAACACAGCCTCCACTTTAGCTCAATTTGAACTCGGTGCAGCTCCCACCCCCTGATCTGGTGCCCAGAGCTCGTGCCTCTGCAGCCCTGGGTTCCAGCTTAGCAGGAGGGCCCGCCTCACAGAGGCAACAGCTGCCACTCTGCTTCTGGTTAAGGCAGTTATTAGTTTAAGGAATCAATCCCAATCCAGTAAAGAACTTAAAAACTCAGGGGCTTTGATCTTTGCTTGGCAAAAGCCCCAGCTGCTGAGTTCCAGCAGCTTTGCCATTTCCCCCTTTTTTACCTTCTTTCATACAGGCCCCAGTCCCACTAAGTAGCAGAGGCCCTGACCGGCACAGCACCAGATCTTTCTCCCCATGCTTGAGTGTGAAGGGGTAGGGGTGGGGCACCGCAGTGGTTTAGGGGAGGGAGAGGGAAGTTGTTTAAAGGCAGAAGCAGAATAAGAACAGAGTTAAAATGCATGCTGGTTATCTAAAAAGAAAAACCTATCTTACATTTATGCTGTATTCCAAAACTTTTTCCCTAAGGGCTTTGAGTTGAGAAAAGCACAAAATGGCTCCAACTCAACCAAGGCACAGTTAAAATTCCTAACATGGCATAACATGGCCCACTCTGGCTGGTACCAACTCAACCAAGGCACAGTTAAAATTCCTAACATGGCATAACATGGCCCACTCTGGCTGGTACAGAAAACACACAGTGATATCTTTGCTGTTTTTAAACTTGAATCACTTGAGTTGTTCGTATGAGAGGAAAACAACATACCTTCCTTTCTTCCTTCCTTCCTTTCTTTTTCTCTCTTTCTCTTTTCCTCTCTCTCTCTACCTACCTACCGAAAACAATACACATTTAAAAGCAAGCTGACTTTCTTCTAGTAACTAGCATAAACCTCAAGCCACCAAGCCCAATTTATCTTCTTGTTCACAGTAGCTTATTTAAAAGGATGTGAATAATATTCTATACAATTTCATAACGTAATATACACTAGGATACACATGCCTTTAATGAAGCTCTGGGATGTTTTGACCACTTCTATGATGTATTAAAAGTGCATTACCAGAGCAGGGATGGGGCGCAGGGTATAGCTCAGTGGTATAGGCTGCTTAGCATGCAAAAGGTCCTAGGTTCAATCCCCAATACCTCCACGAATGAATGAATGAATAAATGAAATAAATAAACAAACTTAACTACTTCTCCCCAAAAAAGTAATTTAAAAAAAAGTGCATTAAGGACATAAATGAAGACCCTGTATTGTTGCTGGCTTTTATTTTTGTAACGGACAAAGTACTGATACCTGAAATTCCATTAAAAGACAGACCTTCCCTTGTGTGTCAAATTTAGCAGTGGTTTTAGTAGTTTTAACTTCTTCTATTTTAAAGCTTCTGTGAATCTTTTCTTGGCCTCACCCTTTGGTGGAGGGGAGGAGAAATGGCTAAAAGTAAAAGGGAAAGGAAAGAAAGATCAGAAGCAGCTGGATAATCAGATAATTGAAAACAAACTAAATTTGGGGTAAGTTCTTTCCCTCTCCTTTCTCTCTTGATTTGGGTAATAATCTCTCTACTTTGGATTATGTTCAATATGAAGAAAACAAATAGCAGCATTTAACTTATAAAACAGGAACTAAATTTCATGAAATCACGTATAGTTTGGTATTAGTATTAACATCCTAGAAAATACAAGGTACTTGGTATATACATTAAAAAAAACCTGCTTTCCTCAACTATTAAAATTCAAAGTTAAACTTAAGATAAGCAATTTAGCACCTCTGTTGAAATGAATATATATTCTCCAATCTACATATGTTGTATTCTGAAGTCCAAGGATAAATGGAAATTAAAATGCACTCCCCATAAGTGATATAAATGGTGGCTCAAGAGCAACTACAACAAAAAGCTTTAAACTAGCTTTCAGTAATACTATATAGTACTTCTTTTATGAAGATACATCCAAATACTTATTAGACACTATTATCAGAAATTTAAAAATTACATAGGAAAACAGGATATTACCAAATCTCAAATGAGAGGGTTGATTAAAATGAACCAAAAAAAAAAAAACAACACTCTTAAGACAACATCCCATCTGCAGAAAATGTGATCATCTTTATATCAAGATTGGTTGAATTGCTGGGGTAGATCTTCCTGATAGAGAGGGGTCAAGGTGTGTGTTTTTGGGACAAATGGTACGAAAAATACCCACCAAGCTGAGACGGTATCTTGAGGCTGAAAAATGAAGCAGGCAGCTCCACATGATCAATGGCTTAGCTTATTATAGAGTAGTTCACTCACAGGATGGGACTGGGTGGGTGACATCCGGAAGCATTTGCTGCTGCCATTGGGACAATTTTATAGTTAACCTAGGGTATGGGGGTACGTGCTCAGAGACAGGAAGTGCATTCCTAAAACAAGATTTACAAATGGGTAACCAGTCTCACGGGCGCCGGGAATACGTCAGCAAAGATCTTCATCATTGTTTGGAGAATAACAGCACAGAGGCCTCCTGGACGTAATGATCATTAAACAACATCTACTAACTACAAATCCCCTGACAACAGAAGAGATTTACTACACAATACAGCCCTAGGAAGGGTCAGTTGAAGGACAAGAGGAACTGATGGGGCCCAAGATGGCATCAGTCATGCTAACAACCATACAGTGTGTCAGGACCCTTCCTGGAAGTGGTTGGTGAGAAGGTCCCATTGCTTCAGCTCCTGAATCACTATCTTCGTTAGTGTTAGCTGGACCAGTCAAGGGGAGCCATTGGGGAAGGACTGCAACCACTTCTGAGGTCCCTTTCTTGACTGCCTGTCTCCCCAACTACTGTCCATCTACTTGCAGATGGCAGAATATGAATGATTTTAATTTAGCCCTATCTCCCCATTTAGACATAAAATGCAAATGTCTACTTCAGATCCAGAACTGTGTAGTCTGATTAAATGTATAATCAAGCACTAAGTGTAAATGAGTGTTATCAGCGCTCCCATTTTTATGCGGAAGAGAATATTAGCCATCTGGAGGGGCTGGAGAGGGAAGGCTAAGGAATGAGTTTCTAAGAGAAGGGAAAGGATACAGAATGTAAAACTGAGATTCCAGCTTTTGCTTAGTGTCAGCAAACTCAGAAATGCATGCACATATAGGCACTAAGGAGCTCCTTAACGTGGAACTGAAAACAAAAGCATTTCTACATCATATAACACATGGTTTATGTATGTTAGTGCTTTTACAACATAATCGGCTTACACTTGTATAAAGAAGCTTCTTTGTCAGGGACTCAATCAAGGAAACTAAATCCTACATTTAGGGAAAACAAGTGTGCAATACTAGGATGAGGAAGTAGAAAGCTCTTCCCAGTTATCCTAGGCACAGGGCCAGTCTTCAAGAAAATTTCAAAACAAGCTGTTTGGCTTTGTCTTACTCCTACTTGGTATGCAAACACCCAGGGCCTTCATGTGACCTCTAGCTGCCTAGAGCTGCTCAGTGCCCTAAAGTGTTCTGTGTCTTAAAACTTACCTGATCTTTCCTTCCTCATTTTTATCCCTGTCAAACTTCCTTTCTTTCAAAGAAAGGGGACAGGGCTCCACTTAGCAGCAAAGTCTCTTAAAATATTCAGTAGAAGGTAATATATCAATGATCAGATACTGGACATCTCTTTCAGACCTATGTTTTAAGACAAAAAGCTTAAAATCTCAAAACAAATCTCTAATTGGTAGAAATTCAGGCAAAGTAACAGGAAAGAAAAAAATAAAAGTCAGGTTGTGAGTACATGTTGTGATATGGGTTCAACTTTCTAGGTAGCTCCAGGTACTGAGTGTGTATACAGTTACTTTGGACCATTTCAACTTTCCATGACTTCTTCCCTTTACCTAAAGCTTAATCCAAAATTCTCTAAAATACCAATGGTTGTTCTGGAGATCCTTCCTCACTCACCTACCCAATGAGGTAGGGGACTTTGTGTATGTGTGTGGTGGGGGATGAGAGGGAAATTCATATCATAGAGAGAAAATGGCACACCACGGTATAGTTTCAAGTAAGAAGATAACTTTCAACCTAATACTAGTGCGTTATTGTTCATAACATACATAATGTAGTTTAGGTAAATTACCAAGTTATAAAAATATAAAACAAAACTTTATAAGAAATTCAGAAATAACTGATGCTTGATAATTCTCTTAAGTAAAGACTACAATTAAACTGTAGTTATTGGCTAAGTTCCATCAATTCTTCTTAACTCTCTTTGACTTCTCCTGGTCTTCTGCTATCCTCTCTGCAGGTCGTTTCTTCAACCCCTTCATTTTCCTGGTTTGTAGCTTGCTTAGGTCTTGCTTCTGCATATGAATCCTTCCATAAGTTGTACCAAAAGTATCATGAGAGATATTTTTCTTCTTCTTTGGCTATGAAACAAGAATATTTAAATACATATTTAATGGTGTCTAGTAGCAGGAACTGGTATCAATTTCCACTGGTGAGCACCAATGGAAATACAGAGTCTATAGCCTTAAAGGCCTTTTGCTCAAACTTAGGTATACATACAAATCACTTGAGGATCTTGTTTAAAAGCAGTTTCTAATTCAGTAAAATTAGAGTGGGATCTGAGATTCAGCATTCCTAACAATTCCCAGGTAAACTGTCAGACCACACTTTGAGAAGCAATAATACACAGTACACTAAACACTATCGTGCACTGAGAGAATTTCCTGTGTTTAGCTTAAGGAATTGTGACTATCATTTCCATCTTTGTTGGCATTCCAGAGATGCCATTTCTAATTGTTTTTTTAAAACCATTCAAAAGTCCAAATCCATTTTATGCATGCACCCGGGTTAGTACATCCTATGCTTAAATCCCTCCTCACAATGCCCAAAATGATTCTCTTTTTGGCTGAAAACTTTTTGGTAGTCTTGGCTACCAGAAAACTCCCAGCAACACCAGATGCCTGGTTTCTACAATTCTATTATCCTTTACAGTGGGCATATTTGCATCTTCCTTCTTTCCTTGGCTTTGATAGTCTAATTTTATCTACTTTATTAATCTCTTTATGTATGTTCTTTAAGGTAATAAGGCACAAATCCTTTTTGGGAATAAGACTGGAGTATATAAATAAGCATTGCATCAATCTGCAAGTCATGTACCTTGAGGGCTTTGGGCATTTTCATAGATAACTTATAAAGGTCATCTGATGCTAGGTGTGTCCTCCTCAGAACCAGATCCAGTGAGGGTCCCATCTCTTCCAGTTCAATTCGTGGTGTTCTGCAGCCAGATTTCTTCAACAGCAACCTTTACAAAACAGTAAAAAAGAAATGTTGCTCTGACTTTGATAAAAGTCCCATCCCCACTCTACCCCCAAACATTTTTGTTCCCATGTTCAAGAGAACAAAAATCAGTTCCATAAATAATATAAAATATTTAGAAAGGCTAAGCTTATTAAATACTTGTACATTTAGGCCAAGTATATTCTTTGGTTTGCTTATTTTTAAAAATCAAAACCAGAAGTATATAACACTGTTGAGAAACAGCAAATGAAAAAGACAATTCTTCTAAGAAATGAAATCCTTTGATTTTACTTCTTCATCTTACATAAGTATAAAAATAATTTTAACTAGGTCTTTGAAACATCATATTTACATGATTAACAAATTCTTTTTTCTCTAAGACCCATTCAGCATCAACTTTTCTCCACAGAACATTTACTGCTCTCTATAGATTGGAATGAACTCAAAAATCTTAATAACAAAACCACAACTTTCTGGATACCATATGTCCAAACAGCACTGGATCTGAGAACATACGAGGGATACAGTGGGAAAAAAAGAGATTCTCACAAATTCTTTTAGTGAGTTATACCACAAGAACAGCTCAAAAAGCTGAAGGTTATTTGAGTTGAAAGACTCAATTTGTTATGGTGGCCAGATCTCCACATGGAAAAAAAAAAAGGACTGAATAATAATGTTTAAAAAGATCGGCCTTTTCACATAAAAGCTGGAGTGTAAAGAGGCAATAGTTGACATGAGAGAAGAGAGAACAGGAGAGGAAAGCAGAGTAAGGAAGACACAGGAGAGAAGCAAACACCAGGAAGCAGGAGTGAGGGTGCAAAAGCTCATTAACAGTCCTGCATCACATGCAGACCAACCAACACAGTCCACTCATGCGAGGGATATTTACTAGCTATGGGAAGGGTCATAATGATAGATATGCTGTATTAGACACAGTAAATTAAACCCAACTGAACAACTAAAAACAAACAAATAAACAAACAAATAAATAAAAACACCCCCCACAGCCTAGGATATGTAAAGAGCAAAAATGTTAAACAAACAAACAGATACTAATGTAAAAGATAAAATAAATACTGACATGGGACATGAAGGAAAGAAGCAGAGAGTAAAAGAACCTAATCAAAAGCCCTTAGTACACTCTTCTTACAGTGGTGCCAGAAGAGACCTGAGAAAGCCTGTCCCAGGCTCACTGGAGGGGAAAACACTAGCAGAAGCTAAAGTTGGCTGACATCATGGGATCTTCCCTAATAGCTAACTCAAAGCCTACCTCTGTAGGGACCATTTAACTCTTAAATCACAGGTCCTTCTGAAGTTGCACCCACATTTTCAGTACCTCCAAATAAATGACATTTATCATGCAGAACTCTCATCAAGATAAATCTTGATTAATATCTTGTGTTCAGTAGATTGCTTAAGAAATTGGGGAAACTGCATAAATAAAATTGCAATGAAAAAATTTTCTACCACTTAAAATGCTGATTTTCAGCTAAATGGAAAATTTGTCAATCCAGAACAGTTCATGGCATGCCTGATGGTTGGCAGATTACCCAAGTACCTCTTTATTTATACAAGCGTCCTCCTAACAAAGTAATCTTTTTAATTTTGTTGTTGTTGTGGTTTGGGTTTTTTTGGGGGGGGCATAACTTCTGTTTATTTTTAGAGCAGGTGCTTGGGATTGAACCCATGACCTTGCGCATGCTAAGCATGCACTCTACCACTTAAGCTATACCCTCCCCCCCCCTTTTTTAAACACCCTTATTGTGGTATGGTTACTGTGCAGTAAACTACACGTATTTCTAATGTACAATTTGATGAATTTTGATAGATGTATCAAAGTAATATTTTGAGTGGTATATAAAATTAAGATTATTTCCAAATAACTACACATAACTACATATGTTGCTATTTATTGAATGAAATTACCGTGCCATACTGTCTGTGTGAATGATCTTACCTTAATCACTTCACTGAGTATGTTTATTATTCTATTTTTACTTCATAGAAAATAGAACGATGTATAGCACAGGGAACTATATTCAATATCTTGTAGTAACTTATGGTGAAAAAGAATATGAAAACAAATATATGTATGTTCCTATATGCCTGAAGTATTGTGTTGTACACCAGAACTTGACACAACATTGTAAACTGACTATATTTCAATAAAAAGATATTTTAAAAAATAGAAGGAAACTTTCTCCAATTTTCAGTTCTCTGCATATAGTTTCTGGTGTTGGGGCTAATATTTTTTCTATTAATAGTTCTTAACAGTGAAATCTAGAATCTAAAATCATTGATTGTTAATCCTTTGAAAAACAACCTGGGGAAATACATTAATAAGAGAATTTATAAAGGATTTTTGTGATCAGACTAAGGAAAATGAAGAAACTAGTAGACACTGACTCTTTAATAACAAGCAAAGTTAAAACCCTTTCCTTTACTCTTATCCCATCATACACATTGTACTTTTTTTTGAAGACAGACATTTCAGTTCCAGGCTTTCCTATCTCCAGCCAAATATCTACTGCCCCAAACTTTTGTATCACATGCCTAATCTCCATCTCAGATCCTAACCTCAAGTTTTGTTTTTTGTTTCCCTGTAAGCTCTAAATCAAAAGTGATTTTCGGTTCTGCAAGACTACATGGTATAAGATGCAGGAACAGAAAGACAAACAGAACTTAGTTCTTTTCCTCTCAGACGTATTTAAGCTATTCAATATGTTAACTGGTTACATATTTAAATACGATTTGCCTATTTCTTGAGAAAGACAGGAATTACGACTCTTGTTTAAACTGTAATTTCCTTATTATTCTCCCTTCCGTATCTATTGACATTCTGTTTTTATTACTTAAATTCCTTGCCTAGAATGCTGTGTTTGCTTTTTAAGGTATGCAAATACTTTCTGTTTTGCTTATTTTTCCCCATAAAACCTAACCAATGCCATAGCAAAGGTATATGTGGCAGTTACTAAAGATTCTCTGTTTCATAGTAATAGTTCTGGCCCTATGGTGAATAAAATTCTCCAAGTAATTAATTATAGGAAATGCAGGAAGATGTCAGGAACTCTATAATTTATTTCCCCAAAAGGTCAGGTCGAAGACTATCAATGTAATTCAGTGTTCGGAGTTCCTTTCATACCAGAAGCTCAAAATCATTTTATAAGCCTTATTGATCTTCACAAATTAGTGTCAGTATTAAATATTATCTTTTACCAGCTGCTTAAGGGTTGGTTCATAGCAAAAGAAAGAGGGCAGGACACCCAAGAGCAGCCTGTGGGAATGCCTGAGAGGCCCCACTGTCAGACACACTTCTCAAGCACCTTCCCACCTTTATCCACACCCCTCTCCCTCTTATAAATGAGAACCATCCATCTCAGAAGGACCCCAGAATCACCTAAATGGTATCACTATACTTTGTAAAGGTAAAATAGAGGCCCTGAGAAGTGACTTGTCTATGTCATGTGGCGAAGCCTAGCACAGAGCCAGGTCATTGGGCTCAGAGGTGATGCTCATTCCTGGGACCACCTCTTCCCTCCCCTCCCAGGCATGGCATGGCTCCTGGGGGCTCATCCACGTCAAGGGATTTTTTCCCACTAGCGGCTCGCTCTCAATCACACTGCCATTTTCTATTTCAAATCAACAGCTAATAGGTATTACAGGGTTTATATGAAACAACTGAGACTAAAATTTCACACTACCATCTCTGATTTTAAAAATTTCAATCTTTTTTTCATCATGGGAGATGCCATGCTAACCTAACAGTGATTCCAGCAATTATACGCTTCTTAAAGTAAGTGGATGGATGGATATGTGCAGTTACACTGCCAACTTACCCTTGTTCGTAAGTCTGATTTGCTAATTTTCTGTCCATTTTGTTTTACTTTCTCTGCATTTCTTTCTTTTCAAATTAATCTTTCTTCTCACTAAATACAAGTTCTGATACAAGTGAATACTTTCTTTGAAACTGTCCACTGTGAGTTTTAGGTTATTGTCATTATTCATTTCTCATTCTCAAAGATGTTTATATTCCTAGCTTCTTTGTATCCCCAGGGTCTTCTTGTTTAGTATGTTTTGAAAAAGATTTTTTTTTATGTTAGTGATTTTCATCTTTTAATTCTTGCTCTATAAATAGCAGTGACCTACTATGTAACATTATTAAAAGCCCCAAAATCAAATTTGGAAATTCAAACAGACTTAAAGGGCTTTTAATCTCAACTAGTTAAAAATGAGAATAAAATCCCTAATTACATCTTGCAGTCATGTGGATATTTTACTGCATTTTGCCTTACTACTACTATTATTATTATTTAACTAAGAAAAAAACTCACACTTTCCACTGTGAAAAAAACAAAATTAAAACCATGGATGATGTACACCAGAAACTAACACAACATTGTAAATCAACTATACTTCAATAAAAATTTTTTTTAAAAAACCACCAAAAACAACCATGGATAAAATGCTCAAGTCCGCAAATGGTTGCACAAATAGCACTACTGTACGGGAAACACCGTCCACACTGGGCTGTCAGCCCTCAGGCAGCACTGCCATGCTGCAGTGCAAAACAGAGATCAGTCTGAATTCGACGTACAAAGGAAGGCAGTTTGTGGGGGTCAATGTATTCTCTAGAAAAGTGTGGGCTCCATTACCAGTGCCAACACTATTTTAAATAAGAGAAAAAAGTCAGGCTTACCTCAAAAGGCACAGTTGTAGCATGTCATTAAGGTTTTAAGTGAAAACAAAATCAGCTTGTTAGGACTTATATTTATACTGAGGTGGGAGTAGGGTAGAAAGGCCTGGACTAGAGAAAGAAGGTAAAATGAATCTAGCCACTGATATCTCCTTATTCCTTTCAGACTCCACTTTTCAGACTCGGGGTTTTGAGAGTTGCTTTGGCTGGCCTAAAACTTGTGGTTTGGCACTCTAAATCCAGTCAAGAAAAGTAAGAAGACATTGCATAATGGTAGGGAGGGTCAAGACTGAATCAGTGTTCAAAGCTCAGAAGGAGCGTAGCTTTCATTGCTCCAGAGCCCTGTAAAAGTAGGGTTTCCGAGGCAGAAGTTAGCAGGGGGATGGCAGACTTGAGGGTCAGCAAGCACAGAGCTGCTGTGTCACTACTACCCTGCAAACTCTCCAAGCAGGCTTTTGGCCAGACACCAATTCTAAGTTTGAGCTCTATAAAACAGTCACATTAAAATGCTAACCTTGAGGATTAATAAAAACATGCTAAGAAATGCACTTACTTATAGCTTCGAAAATAAATCTTCCCATTCAATGCAGTGAAGTGCAGAACATAGTCTAAACCAGCCAGGCGGATGTTTGATATTGTAGGGCCTCTGAAGAAATCTAAAAGCACATATTAAGTTGTTGAAAACAAAAAAACAAAACACAAAGAAAACCCCACAAAACTTGACACACCTTTAAAATTCAGTTGTTCAAACTTTGACTATTAAATCAAACTAGCCTTTGTTTTACGGTGGAGGCCAATAAGCAAGAAAATTCTACAAAGAAATCTCAACTACATGAGCAAAGAAAAGCAAACTAAGTGTCAAAGCCCGAAAAGAACCATCAAGATCAATGAGTAGGCTGTTTTCCCACAGAGTGGCAATCATATCAAGTGAGATGATTTTGAATAATACACAAGTAGAAATAATTTACAATACATTCTTTATGTTATTACATCATTTTCCATTCAGAGCAGGGACATAAAAGTTTCCTTTTCAAAAGAAGAATCAATTTAAAGAAAAATCTCCAGTGAATAATACTATGGATATTACATGGACTTGGCTGAAGTTATAAAGGGGGCACATGAAGAAAGAAGCTTGGAAAATAGCAGTCAAGTTTGGTGACTTCATTTTACAGATAAGAAGATTAAACCTGGAGGAGGATAAGTGGAAATATATGAATAACATTTAGCTAAGAAAAAAATTATGCACAAAAAGCCATCCAATTAATTACTTAGAAAGAGCTGCCCCAAGAAAGATGATGTTGTGAACAAGAAAAATCTCATTCTGTCCCAATCTAAAGCCAACCAGCATTTTTCTTCCCTCTTCCCATTAGCTCATAAAATGGGAATTATCTCCATGTGCATGGACATAAACATCTTTCGTTGCTTGCTTTTTCCTTCTCATGGTTACCTAAAAGAAAATTACAGCACTACTGTACATAAAATGGATGCAAGTGTGAGTGCACCTGTATACACCACCCTTCCCTACTACCCCAAACAAAAATCCCTCACGGATATTTTTGTAAACCAAATATGCACTTTTTCAAGGTATTTTGATCCAAAATTTGATCACAATTAATGAAGAACTTTCCCATGATTCTGCCAAAGCCTGACTCTCCTTCGGTGGCCAACTTACTAAAGTAAACACCCACTCACTGTTGTGGCACCATTACTGAAGTCAGAGTCATTCTGGGGAAAAAGATGTGTACATTCCAGTCCTCCCTGAAATAGCTTTTGTAATGCAAACTTCACAGGCATAGGTGCTTTTTTCCATAAGCTTTTAAGACATAAGAAAAGAATGAAATGAGATAGAATGTTTAAGAAGACTGACCCTTACCTCACACCATACACAAAAATTAACTCAAAATGGATCACAACCTAAATGTAAGATCTAAAATTATCAGACTTCAAAGGAAAATATAAGAGAAAAATCTCTGCAATCTTAGGATAAGCAAAGGTTTTGTTTTTTAAACAAAACACTGTAAAAACATGCTATTAAAGAAAAAAAAGGATAAAATAGACTTCACAAAAATATAAAACTTCTGCTTTTTAAAAAATATCACTGTCTGCAGATGACATGATACTAAACTTAGAAAATCCTAAAGATGTACCCTCCAAAACACTAGAGTTCATCAATGAATTCAGTAAAGCTGTAGGATACAAAAGTAATATACAGAAATCTGTTGCATTCCTATACACTAACAGTGAATTACCATAAAAAAAATTAAGGAAAACAATCCCATTTGTCATTGTAGGGGATAGAAGATGTAGAAGATAAATTGGTTATAGTTAGAAAGAAAGCCCCAGTTTGGACTTTTTTTTCAATTCCAAGTGAAAATAACACCTCAGGTGTGGCTGTGTCCATGAGTAAACACACTGGGAAAGGGCATAGGGGGCTGACCTCACTCCCTCCCGCTATCACTGCAGTATGTGGTTACTCCTGTAGATGGGAAAGATCAGGTGATCTGCAGTCAGAGAAGAGATCAGATCCTGATTCTGCCACTTACTACCTCTTTACTCTGGACAAATGTTAACTGGTCTCAATTTCTTCATCCATAACATAGGAATAATATTACAGTAACGAACTGAATGTTTGTTTAACCTCTACTGTGGCTATATTTGGAAATGAGGCCTCTAAGAAAGTAATTAATGTTAAATGAGGTATGGAGTTAAGAGTGGGGCTTGACCCCATAGTATTAGTGTCCTTATAAGATGAGACACCAGAAAGCTTGAACCCCCCTTTCCTGTCTGTCTCTCCCTCCCTCCCTTCCTCTCATGCAAATACACAGAGGAAAAGCCCTATGAGCACATAGTAAGAAGCCAGCAAGAGAGTCCTCACCAAAAACTCAGACTTCTAGAACTGCAAGAAAATAAATTTGTTGTTTATAAGCCACCTAGTCTATGGTATTTTGTTATGGCAGCCTGAGGAGACTAATATAACTACCTTTGCAGAGTTGTAGAAAGGGTTAAATTCAATAAATTGCCAGACCTAACCTATGGTTATTTTCATTAATATATATACTCAAGTGGGTAGGAATTAGGAAATGAGAAAGGTTAAAAAAAATTTAAATGACAACTACAGATGTAGCAGTATATGACTACTGATGCAAAGGCAATGAAGGAAAAATAACCCAGTCAGGAAGTTAAATTTAAGGTTGGCTTTAAAGGAATACTTAATGAAACTAACCTATTACTTGATTCATTATCATCTTTACAAGTAGTCATACTAAAAAGTAACTATAAAAAGTAAGATGGACTGAATCAAAAAATACTGATTTTCTTCAAAAAAAAAAAAAAGAAAAAAGAAAAAGCAGGACCCATTAAGATGAACTGTAAATCTATATAATATTTAAGCAAAACATAAGGAAAATTCAGAATAAATAAAATGGATATCTAACATGAAAATACTGACGTTAACTTCTCTTTCTAGTCAATTAAAAAAGGGAGGGGGCATTTTTTAGCAGGAAAACAGCCCTTGATAAAAACTTTTCCTACTGCTCTATTTCATTTGAACACACCAGGCAAACCAAGAAGTCTGCAACTTTCTTATTTTTTATTTGTATTAAAAACTCAACTTCGCTTAGTGCCAGACAAACTCACTCCATCCCTCTGCCTTCCTTTCTTCTTTCCCCAGATTCCTTTTTGGTTTTCACTTCCTCACGCTATCACTGCAATATGTGGTTACTCCTGCCATCTAGTGGAAGCACAAAATAAGAAGATAAAGCCATTCAAACAAAAGCTATATAGCTCTGTTATAACAAATTATAATTATAGGGAAGAACAAGGGGGAAAGAAGCAGGAAATCTGGGCCAATGGAGTACAAGTACTAGGAATCTTGGCCCCAAAAACCCCCTTGATGTTTTGGGGTGTGTAATATTGAAAGAAATGTGGTCATTGTCTTCCATGTATCTTTTTAATATAAATTCATAGACAACACAAGTAAGAACCTACAGCAGAAAGACTGCAAGGGAATTATTCACCATGGACAAGATGAACAGCAGAGGCAGAAAAGCATAGGCTTTGGGTTTCAATTCTGGCTCACCTACCTAATAGCTCTTAACCTCTCCATACCTCCATTTCCCATTGGAAAAATGAAACGTCACCAAACTCAGCAGCTTTAGTAAGGATTGAACAGGTAATAATGATATTCAGTTTTTCAAAAACAGCCATTATTAAGAAGAGAAACGAGAAGCCCTGAAAATTGTAATCCCCAAATAAGATCATATATAATCCCAATAAGGAAAAATGAAAGCAATGTGTCTGCCCACAAACTTTTTTGGTTGGTTCAGATTTGTAAAGAGCATGTATACAACTTATTTATAATATATACCCACCAAATTTTCAAAAGTGATCTTAGGGGCAAAGTATAAAAAAATCCAAAAGGGCAACCAAAAAAGTTACGGCTTACCTTCTAAGAATGGTGCAAGAAAAGCTCAAATGGAATAAATTATTTAAACTTGAGAAAATGCTACTGAGTATCAGAAGAGTTCATATCTTTAGGGACAAACTAAATCACTTTCCAGAGTTCGAACAGAGATGGCAGATGTGATCACAGAGTACTAAGTATTAGTAACCTTTAACATGTTAATCTCCATGTCACTCAAATCTAGGTGACAGCTGTGTTTCCTCAGGGGCCCCGCTGCCCAGATATGGGTGCTACTTTTCCTTATGCAGCTTTTTACAAGTAATTTGCAACAGTTTTCATTAGTAGCACAAGTATTTAATAGTAACAACATGTAAGTATATACCCAGATAGCTAAAAATATTTTCTTTTGAACAAAATTACTTAATACTACGTCTCTTAAGATAGTCACTGAAACAATTTATATAAAGTTGCTGCCGTGTTTTGGGACGAGAACAATATGTTCCTGTCTTTTCTACATTTTTTCTAGCTTCCTATCAGTCCAAAGTTTGCCTGCTTTTCTGATAACAGAGGACGCACATTCTTCTGATTGTTTTTCCTTGCGGATTTTTCCTACTTTGCAAATTGTGAATCTCTTCTCCTTCATCCCTTTGAATATTACTGGACCTAATATTTGAAGAATATAACCATTCCTTAACTAAAAGCTCCCTAAATTCTGATATTTTAAGTTTTTACTTTGCCTTTGGCTGGTATACAATATGTGCATTTGTGACAGAAATCCCAATTAAGTAGATGTAGTGCTAATTTCCAGTACCATTGATACTTTTTCATAATGTCATTGCGTATGAAACCATCTGGTTACCTCTACTGATGCCACACTATCCTTTGTTATAATTAAGTATGGCAGGTGGTTTCATTTTTATAAGATTGCAGTGACAAGCAGATGAATTTGAACTGGTCCCATTATGGGTGCATGTTTTGCCAAAAGTTCTTATATCCTGAACATCTTTCCATTTCAAGATGACAATTCCATTGACATTGCATTGTCATCTTCTCGTGACACCATTTCACCTCTTTTTAGTGGATGGGACATAACATCTTTTGGCATAAACTTTATTATGCTGCACAGTCCCAACAACATGAGTTTTCAAACTCAAAAATTTTAGAACCAATTTGAAGCTGGTGTAGGAGTTATCTTCATACAAGATACAACCTTCATTCAGTAATTTTTCTGCAAGCTCACCACAAACATTTTGAGTTAATCCAATTTACCTGACTCTACTAGTCTCTGGTCCAAAATATATTTTTATCAACTGCATATAACCTTTTGTCAAACATAACTTAAATAATTTTATTCAGTATTTGTCTGTCTTATTTGGTATATAATGTCTAAATATAAGCCTTCCCCTTCAAGGAACCACTGTCTCATCGATTTTATGGTATCTGGGCCTGGTGAAAAAATGTTTTGATATAATTTTCAATCAAAGCATTAATCAATGGTAATATTTTTCCAAGCCTATCACCTCTTTCAATCATTTCATTATTTGCAAAGTGGAAATTTTATAATAATTCAAAACAATTACAAGACTTTATGGTACGTGGCAATGTGAAATTGTAAAGCAGGTCATTTGACCAATATTTAGTCATAACATTAGTTTCACTAGACCCATCCAAATCAGAAAAGCAAGGAATTTTTTACTTTCTTCAGAAGAAGTAGGTTTCCACCTCTTTATTTGACTATATTATGTATTTAAATGTTGAAGTAATTTTTGTTCTGCGTATCTGTTTGTCTCCTATACTGGAGGGTTTATTATTTCATCATCTAAAAACAGCAAAAGAGCTTAGCCTGGACTGATATCACAATGTAGTTCTGTCAGAAATCCACTTTTTCCTGTGAATATGAACGACTTCTGGCTGCCAGTGAACTCTTTCTACTGAGTACTGCCCAGCGCGCCGCCATCATCTATTTCTTCCTCTTCCTATGCAACTAATTGTTCTAAAACCTCCTCAGTTTCAACTTCAACATCGTCTTTCTCCTCATTCTCTAAGCTTGAACTTGAAAAAATTTAATTAATGTATCTTCTTCTGACATGGATCACTTCATCATCACTACTAGTGTCACTTTCAGCTGTATTTCTACATTGTCTGACAGATATTGTAAGGATAGCAAAAGTCACAGAATGACACTTGAAAAGATGCAGAATAGAACTGCCAAGCCGAGTCAAACAGAGCAGGTGAACAGAGTACCATCCTAAACAACTGCTTATCTATCGGTTCTACTAATCAGATCACATATCACTCTCGAGCTAACAAATATCAAAGTAATGCCACAGCGTCCCAGACTATTGTTACTGGAATTTATTCTGTGCAGAACAATGACATTCCAGGAAGAAATAAAACTATAATATAAAGAGGTTAAAAATTGGAAGTAAGAAAAGAAATTGTTTTTTAAATAATTCCAATTATACTGGAGAAACAAACAGATTAATTATAAGCACATATATTATTAGTGTGTCACACTGCTATGAAGTGTGAATTTGGGCTCCGCAGGAAACACACTGGACCCACAGCGGGCGATCAACGTGTTAAGAAATTATAGAAAACAGTAATGTCAGCTTTTTTAAAAAGGAGAGAACAAGTGGTTTAAAATTGGTAAATTTAAATCAATCCCAGACAGTAACTATACGTTGTATACTGGATTTTAAGAAGGAAGACTTGTGAACACATAGAAAAGGATGTAGTCATTACATATCATTAGGAATGAGTGTAGCTCACTAGGAATAAGTCATCTATAAAACAACCTCACAAGGTTACTGTGAGGATGAAGCAATATACATAAAGTACCCAGCACATGCTTGGCATTTAGGATGATGATGACAATGAAATAAAAGGAGCTGGGGAGGTCACTGAGGGCTTCCTAGGAATGAAACTTCATCTGAAATTTGCAACAATGGAAGAAACTAGATAATAAAAATGATTTAGTAAAGACAATAGGAATGTGCATAATATATTTTCAGCAAAACTTTTTTAGTAGAAAAGGAAGGAAATTGGTGGAGATCAAAAAAACAAATTACAAGAGGTTTTTAGTGTGAAAAGCCTTGTGTATAAGAGTAAGAAAAACTAATAGAGGTTTTTGAGTTCAATATGGATGAAGTATAAGCTTGAAAATTTAAATTTTCAAATTTCCAAATTTAACATAATGATGCAAATAATGACAGGAGGTGAGTGCAAGCATTTCATAAAGTATAAAATTCTATATAAATAGGTTGGTACCGATGTTAATCGTATCATCAAAAAGCAATAATGATCTATAGAGTTTAACATCCTTTTAACTCTCCCCTGCTGCTAGTGGGGGAATAAAAATAATAAAAAGGGAAAAAAGAGATAAAAAAGAAAAGGCTGTATACCTAGAATGAAGTGGCAAATGGCCACCACCAATGACAAGTCTTAGACTGCCTACCTAAGCTGTCTTGCAGATAAGTATTAAAATACTCACCAATAAGAAGACTTTTTAGCCTTTTGTAGTCTTCTGTTACATCAAAATCATCACCTGCAAATATTAACATAGGTTTTGTTCCCTCAGGACATTTACTATTCTAGGAAATAAAAGAAAAGTAATTATATAAAATTATCAAGTCTAAACTGTCTATATGTTGATTTTAAAGTAGTCAATACTTAAAAACAGTGATTCAGTTTCACATTTTTTATCTGTCCTAAAACTATGTTTATGAATATTGATTTTAGTTTTTTAATTTTTAGTTTGTTTTGTAATGGAGGTACTGGGGATTGAACCTAGGACCTTGTGCATTGCTAAGCATGCTTTCAACTTATTACCCTCCCCCTCGAATACTGACTTTAGATTTAAAAACCAGAGTGGGATTTTTTTTAATTTATAGATTTTTGTACTAGATCTATGGTCTGAGGGAGCAGAAGCCCAATTTGGACCCAGGAGCCACATTAGGACACTTTTCTTGCCATTCTAAGACTACTTACTACTTTCTATTTCATAATCCCATTCAATCAAAAGAGACACAAAGATCCAAGTCCTCATAGGACACTTTTCTTGCCATTCTAAGACTACTTACTACTTTCTATTTCATAATCCCATTCAATCAAAAGAGACACAAAGATCCAAGTCCTCAAGGGGATAACTGAGCCTGCAATTTGGTGGCTAGCAGTCAAAATACTGTAGGAACAGCTAAAGCTTCCAAGCTTTAGAATAGGGCTCACTTTGAAAACTGTGATATTTCTGGGGTTCCATAAAGTAGGTGCTGTGATAATTAAGGAGATGATAGCGTTTCAACTATGGGCCTAGACAAAGGGTTAGGAATCACTCTAAAGTCTAACTGCTCAGATGTGTTATACGCTACAAATATATTCCTCGTCTTAAAGTAAAGGTACAATGAAATTGCACTTTCAGTTTAGAGCACGCTAGAGTAAAAAAGATTTAAGCTACAAAACTGTACAGTACTCTTCACCACAAGATGTCACTATTGCCCAAGAGCAACCTCATAAAATGCTTATTTTTATGATCATATCTTACCTTAATGTCTTTTAGAGAAACAAACTTCTCAATACCTAATTCAATCATATCCAGCACATGGTAGTCATACATACGACCTAGAAAAATATATTTTCTTTTAACCATTTATTTTTCCCAAACAGCCACCTTATTTGTATCCACTTATCTGCATGTCAAAATGCTCTAATATCTGCCTCTTTCCTTCTTATATCTCCCAAGAATGTCGCTTCTTTCTTAAATTTTTAACTCTGCCTAGAATAAATTGGTGGCCCTGGTAAGGATCTTAGAGATCACTTACCCCAAATCCCTTAATTTATATAAGAGTAAAGTGCCAAAGAGGGTAAAGGGCTTGCCTAAGCCAGTGAGCATGCCAGTCCACACGCCAGTCCAAATTTCAAAACACAATACAGGCAAGGGTTCATTTTCAAATATATTCATTACACAGGTATTTATTAGGGAAGGGTTAATTCACATGGCTAAGTATGCTACTTTTCCCCCCTAAATCTAATACTGACTCAGGATATATATGCTTTACATTCAAAAAATTTTCTACAACTTGAGGTAGGGTGATATTTACATGCCCATTCTTTACCTGCAGACTGGTAAATAAAAAAAATTCTATTCAAATTCACAAGCAAAATAAAAAACCAGTTTAGGGCTTACTGGTTATTCCCGAATCCTCAATACCATCAATTAATCTGAGTCACAGAACTGACTGTAAATAAAAGTTAAAAAGTAAATGATATTTACCTATTACTAGATTATTTGGTCGCTTCTTATTATGGGAGCCAAACATGAATAAAGAACAATCTGACTTCTTTGAAAAAAATTCCTGTAAAACCAAAGAAATTCCATTCAATCAATGCACAAATATAAAAAACTTAAGTACTGTACCTCTGAACTAAAAAAATGTCTATCGGTTTTCTTCAGTGGAAGTTGAAGAAGACTTAATAAACTAGATAGGAATAAACAGAGGGAAAAGGTTTTATTTCTAGCTTTTTACTTCAAATTTGCTGATTTGAGGTACCCAGGGAAAAGATATAAGTTTAAGACTAAAATATATGAAAATTACTAGTTAATAAATAAAAGAGGCCATTTATTTTCAGCTATGCAGTTATTCTGGAATAGCATACCAAGTATTGCATTTGCAGAACAGATGCCTTCACTCATATGACATACTGCTATCATCAGTGGTCCATCCGTGCATTCAGAACACAAATATAATGGGTGCTTACATGAATTAATCAATATGGTGTTTTAGGGATGTTTATAACTGGACTTACGAATTTACAAGGCATGTAACTACTTTCTACTGCAAACTTCATCCACACAGCAATCTTGTCCTAGAATTTCCACACCATCTCACCTGTGACTAGTTCCATTTTGTGAACCCAACAAGGACTGACTGACAGATCTATGATGTTCCCACCAATAAGAGGTAGCTCCTCCATCTGGCTCTCAAAAGTACTGACTTCCACTACAGATTCAAGAGGAGTGGAAACACAGTTATAGGGTTCCAATCCTAGACAGCTCCTTTTACACCAGTGTCTATCTACACTGATGTCTCTTCACATTCCACATACTTGGATTTGGTTTATAGACATTCCCAATTTCAACACAAAAATTAGCTTGCATGTGTGCTAGTCCAGTTCTAGCCTAGTTGGAAAAGCTTCCTAATTTAATGACAAAAAAAATTAAATAACGTTGAAACAATCATAATCCTCAACATTCCTTTACTGACTGCAAGACCCCCTTGGGGTGTGGGCCCTTAGTTTGGTTATCATTCATTCCAGTGTTTTAATTAGAAGCAAATGAGGCAAACAGCTACCCACTTGCCTATCCACTCACTCCCCATGTAAAGGTGCAGAGTCAGAAAGTCCAAGAATTCTGGCTTTGCTATTTACTATGGGATCTGGCCAACCTTCCTTAGAATTAACTTTATCATATGTAAATAAAAAAAATTTTTTAAAAAATCACCTCCCGCAAAATTCTCCAAGGACCATGTGAGATGTCATATGTCAAAGTATCTTCCTTAGACTGTGTCTGGCACAAAGTAGGTGTTCAAAAATTGTTTTTTAAATGTCCAAGTCAATGACAATCCTTCCTTCAAAAAAATTTTTGACATTCTGTTATGATTAACACCCCAAAGCTCTCCATAAACTATCTTTTACATATATATAATATTCATCTGTCATTCTTCTCCGTAAAGTCTGTCTTCTACTAAAATTCTAGAGCAAGAGCAGTTAAATTATCTGCAAAAGGCCAGACAGCAAATATTTTAGGCTTTTCCTATGCTTAAAAAAAAAACTTAAAAAACGTAAAATCAGGGGGGTGTGCAGTGGAGGCAGTTATAGCTCAAGTGACAGAGCACATGCTGAGCATGCACGAGGACCTGGGTTTAATCCCCAGTACCTCCTCTTAAAGTAAATAAGTAAACCTAATTACCTGCCCCCTCAACAAAAAATTAATAAATTAATAAAATTTTTTAAAAAAGTAAAAGCCATTCTTAGCTCATGGGTCTCACAGAAATGGATTTAGCCCACAGGAGATATATTTGCTAATTCTTGTCCTAAAGCACAGTTCCTAGACTGTAGTGTAAGAAATGTGCTATTGGGTGACGAGTGGTCAGAAAGAGGAATTCAACCAAATTCCCAACATGACCACTGTTTCCACAGCCATTCTGAGCTCTAGTGGTCTGAGATTTATTACAGTCAATGAAATATATCCTGTCTCTGGAATGAGGAGATCAACAAGAGGAAATGTCACAATTTCTAGTGTAAGAAAAGCTGTCCTAACAACACTGGATTGAAAAAGTACAGAATGCTACAGATTCTACAAAATAACACTGCTACAAAGTGGTCATTCAACCAAAAGTGTTATAGTGTCACAAAACAAAACCAGCTCTTGATAAGTCATGTACAGTATAGAAGAGGGAGAATTCTGGGTTAGACCCTATATTTTTACTTTCATGAGCTCTTCAACAAATGACTGTGAAAAACCCAAGACTGTGATGAAAGCAATTTTATTAAAAAAAAACTCAGTATTTTGACAATATTTTTCTTAATCTATTATAATTGTCATTGCAGTTAGTTGCCACATTAGGATAAGATGTTCAATGTCAGTTTTCTAATTAATTGTTGTGATTCTATTCAGAAATTTTTTTCTTTTAAATTTACTAACTAAAAGAACAAGCAATGGTGTTCCTGTCAAGAGAACATAATCACATTCAGATTTTTTTAAGTCAACTTAAATAGCTTAACCCATGTATTTCCTTAAGATTTTCTTTAAAAAGAAACTAATATCATCACATACTCAAAGTCCATTCATCATTCGCCATTTACTATCTACCACCTTTTATCTTCTGATTTCATTCACTAGCCTTCTTCATTTAGTTTTGGTTGCCAATACACTCAAACAGGAATTTGATTAACTCTAGTGAAACAACTGACAATCGTTAGCAATAATTCAGGCAGTGTTTCTTGTTCTAAAAATACCCAAAAAAAGAAAAGTAAAACTTTTTAAAATCAAACTTGCTGTATAAAATGGATTTATAGCAAGCTTCCTTTTGACAATCCATTAATTATACACTTAAAATGTAATTTAACTTTAAAAAATTTTATCAATATACTTCCAAGCAGTGAATAATACATACTAGTCATAGTGAAATATAAGATCTATAGTTATACTTTAGTTTAACTAAGTTTAAGGAAATAAGTTTAAGTCTTATTTCCTCTGTATTTTACATCAAAATTCTCTCATATAGGAAGATGTCTAATTTAAAAAAATCATAAATTAGGAGTACTATTAAATGAATTAGTTTGAATAATCACTTATATGCTCTTAAATCAGAAAGATTCTTGTACTTACCAATGATGTCTGATCTTCAAATGGTCTTGTAATATTTTTCCTAATATAAAAAAGTGAACTTAATTTCACAAATCTCAATAAGTAATTTACCCATCACAATAAACTAATAGATTAAGATAATTTTATATTCGGATGTTAAAAAAAAAAAGAAGCTGGAACGATACTAATGCATTCAAACTTTTATTTACTGCCTACATGTGCCAGGCACCATTCTAGGAGCTGGGGATACGACAGTACCATGTCAAACAAGATCCCAGCTTTCATGGAGCCTGCATTCTAGTGGAAAAATAAACAATTTCAAAAAGTAGTAACTCTTGTGACAAAAATAAAATAGGGCATTGTGTTAGTGTGAAGAGTGGAAAATGACTATTTGTGCTGAGACCTGATAAATGAGTAGCCATGGAAAAGTTGTGAGGTTAAGAGTATTCTAGGAAGAGGGAATAGAATAAGCAAAGATTCTGAGATGGAAACAAGCTTAAACTATTCAAGAAACAGAAAAAAAGCAAATGTCACTGGGTCTTAGTGAGTAAAGAGATGGGTAACAGTGGGGTATGAGGTCAAAGATGTAGACACAGCCCAGATTAAGAAGGGCCTTGATGGTCAAGGTGAGGTATGTGGTTATTAAAAGAGTAATGGGAAGCATTGGGGGGTTTTAACCAAGAGAGTTATATGACTGGATTCAAATGTTTTTACAGGTCTGCTCTGTCTACTATGTGAGAATGGAACGTAGCCCAGCAAGAGTAAAGGGGTTAATAAGGAGTTATCGCAGGAATCCAGGAGAAAAAGGAAAAATATGGTGGGATGGATCAGGAATAATAATAGTGGAGATGGAGAAGCAGAGGATAGGGAAATGTAGAACACACTGTCTTTCATGCAAAACAGAGAGAAATAAGATTATGTATTTTTACTAGCTGAAATACACAAAAGAAATTCTAGTAAGATATATAAGAAACTAATGATGGTGGTTGTTCTGGGAAGAGTGTGTGTTCATATTGTCACTGTATAGTTCTGATTTTTAGTCATGTACTTAAAGTGTCTATAAAGCAGTTCATAATCTATGAATTTTAAAAGAAAATTATACATACAACACGATCTCAATTTTGTTTAAATAAAACAGATGTATAGATATGAAACCACGTGAGAAAATATGTCAAAATGTACACAGTGGTTATCTATGGGTGATTATTTACTCCATTATCCCAATTATCTAAGAGACATGTTACTTTTATAATCAGTAAAAAACAAAAAAAGTATTTTATGTGACAATGAATATATACATGTCCACATAGAACTGAAAACTTGTGCTGTACACTGGAATTTAACACAACATTGTAAAGTGACTATAACTCAATAAAAAAAGTTAGAAAAAAAGGTATTTTTAAAAAAATGATGCAAGGCAAACAAACCAGGAAAAATTACTGCAGCATTTATGATTAACAGCTAACAGCAATTCTTTTTTAAAATTAATTTTTTTTAAGTGGAGGTACTGGAGCTTGAACCCAGGACCTCATAATGCTAAGCATGTGCTCTATCACTGAGCTATACCCACCCTCCTAACAGCAATTCTCAAATAAGCAATTTTAGTACAAACATTTAATAGGTATTATACTGGCATTAAAAATAGTATCTAAAGGGGAGGAGGGTATAGTTCAAGAGGTAGAGTGCATGCTCAGCATGCATGAAGTCCTGGGTTCTATCCCCAGTTACCTCCTCTAAATATAAATAAATAAACCAAATACCCCCCCAAAGCATCTAAAGGACCACCTATCAACAGAAAAATGAAAAATGCTTACAATACAAATGAAAAAGGCACAAAAGAATTTTTAGGATACTGGAACTGTTTCTGTACTGTGACTGCAGTGGCAGACACAACTAAATGCATTTGTCAAATCCTTAAAAGAGTACACCACAAACAGTAAGTTTCACATATGTAAATTAAAACAACAACCAGGGTGCGATGGAAAACCAAAATAGAATACAAACTGTAATAAATAACCTTAACTATAGTATAAATGACTAACACAATCACACTGAAGGGGCGAAAAAACCTACACTGGAGTTACACTGGAAAACAACATTTTGACTGGATACTGTGAGGTTAAAGACAAAAAGAACTGTACATAAATTCCATACTCTAGTTAATAAAATTGTTTCTTACTGGGTTAGAAATTCTGAAACTACCAGAATTATACAAATAAGTAAATATATTATAATGAAAGTCAAGTTTCTTACTGTCAGAAGAAAAGCGTTAGAAGAAAAGGAGAAAGGCTGGAATGAAGTCTGTGGTGTTGGACTGGAATCAGAAGCATTAGCATGAACTCATGATTTTTTAGGAAGTATCAGTATCAACTCAGGGCTTTGTAATATATAAATAAATAAAAACAAATATCAATGTGCATGTGTACATAGGATAATAAAGTATGTAATTTTACTGCTGACAGGACCTAGTGACAATGACACTTCAGTAACCAATGAGCATACTTAGTGCCCAGATAATTATCAGCCTCCAATACATGGAATGAGGACTCCGTGGAGAAAGGGCTGTGGCAATGAAAAATACAAGTGAGCCTGGTGCATCTTGTGGTGCCAGAAAGGAAGTCCTCCAACACAGGGGGCATGCTGAAAGGGCACACAAGCCAACCTGAAAGAGAGCCTAATGGCCAAAGGCAGAACAATTTATGCAACAAAATAAATAATGGTAGCACTGGATTTTAACCCAAAAGAATCTAATAAATATCCTTAAGTCCACACTGATATAAACAAGTAAACAAATGGAGGAAAAGGGATAGATTGTCCTTACAGAATTCCAATTAATAAATGTAGAGGGAATGAGAGAAATCGCAAACCACCACTAGAACACAGCAGTAATCAATGTTGTAGACAAGATCCACCGATGGATGTTAAAATTAATAAGTAAAACTTTGAGGAGAAATAGGATTATTTGCATGTCTCTAGGTAACTCCTCCAAACATTCATTAACTACAAAGGGAAAAATAGTAAATTTACAGTGGAGAAACCCAGCAGACACCACTTTAACCAAGGTTAACACCACCAGTATAATACGTCATGTACTCCCTGGTATGATTTACTGAGAAAGGCATATCACTTTTGTGGTATTCTTGCCAAAAATGCATAACCTAAATCTATTCATGAGGAACTTAAGACAAATCCAAAACTGAGGAATATTTTACAAAATAACTGACAAATACTCATCAAAAGTGCCAAGGTCATCAAAGACAAGGAAAGACTTAAGAATTGTCACAAGTTGGAGGAGACTAAAGAGATATGACAACTAAATACAATGTGGGGTTCTGGAAGAGAAAACGAGTATTAATGGAAAAACTGGTGCAAACCAAATCAAGTCTGTGATTTAATTACCATTATTTAACCAATGTTCATTTCTTACTTTTGATACTTACACTGTGAATATGAAAGTTATCAACATTCTAGATGCTGGGAGGGGTATATGGGCATTCTACTAATTTTTGCAACTTTTCTGCAAGCTTATAATTATTTCAAAATAATATATACATGCTATGATTATAACTATGTAAGAATATTCAATACAAATGAAAACAAAGGTGAGAAATAAATACGTTTTAAAATACTCATAGTAATGTATGTAAGGAACTGTAGTATTTTTTAAACAAATTATTTTTCTAACTCTTCCATAAAGTGGTTGTTTCTTACTTGTATAATGGAATATGATTTAATAAGTGAAGAGATAATGACTTACTTTTTATATAGAACGCCATATGGTTTCTTCAGTGCATACTGTAAAACATAATTCATAACTTTCAAAACAAAACACATTCTGAAAAGCAGAGGTAAAAATAAAGCATTGTAACAGTCATTATACAAGATTACCCTGGTCCCTGAATCATATTCTGATGTCTTCTCCATGGTTCCCTTCTGATCACTTATAACAACCTGCAACATAGCTTAATATTCTTAGACTGAACTTTCCTAATTAAAAGTTTCCATGTCCTTTCAATATTCTATCCAATTTAAATGATTCCCTTCATTTCCTTAAATTCTACCTATTCCATTATTTCAAGGCAAACAATCTGAGAATAGAAAGAAGAGCAGAGGAAAAGAGAAAAAATAAATCCTATCAGGAAAGGCTGACAAAATTGAAATAATGTTGTGTGGAAAAAAGGGAACAGAGAAATGATCACAATGACGACAATCAAAACACTAGCCAGAGTTTACACTAGCCCTTGAAAAATTCCTGTTTTCAACCCTCTTTTCATTTTTCTCCCTACTTATTTCCACCTATCCACTCACTAATGATCACTCATTTCCTGTATGGTCAGTACTGCCCTTATCATAAGGGATTACCTTGCATTAGAGAAAGGGGTAAACAAGGAAACAGTGAAAAATAAAGTGAAATGATCATTCACCAACTATCAGAGCTGGTGAACAAAGGAAATTCACCAGTAAAATCTACCTGTTTAAGTACTAAAACTTTTGATGATTCTTGACCAAATGTTTCCCTGCCTCAGCGTAATGAACATTACCATCTTTTCTGGCTAACTTCAGAGTCATCAATTCAAATGTTAACTAATATAACAATTTGGAATATGGTGCTGCAATTAGAGTTAAGCCAAGTATGTAGAGCCATTGTGTTGACGCGATGCTGGGAAGACGACACAGTATCCCATCAACACGACTTTCACACAAACAGAAAGGATAAGCTTATATCAGAAATTTGGATGTATGAACTATCATGTTTACTAAGTATAGGAAGTTAAGTCAAATTTTTAAACTTTTTCAATTATTTAGTTGATTTAACTCAATCTATCTCCTATACTCAAAGCCTAAATACTCAACTACGTACTAGATTTCTCCACAAACTATGCCTGCCTTTCATTCACTGATTGAACATTTACTGAGCACCTAACTTGAGCTGGACACAATTAGACTCAACACAATAGAGGTTTAAAAAAAAAAAAAAGAGCTTTTATCTTCCTCACTTAAATTACATGTCCTAAAACAAACCTGTCACTTTTCCCTCCAAACCTGCTCCACTTGATACATACTCTAATTGGCATTATTGCTCATTAGACATCCAACCCAGAAACCTGCTAGGTCATACTTCTTACCCACACCCAAACTGTTCTACTGTCAACATCTGATCTCTCTGATCATCTCTCATTTTCACTGCCACCACCAGACTCCAGATGCTCTTTACTTGGCTGCCAGCAATAGCTTAATTAGTTTCCTACAATTGCTCTCGGTCCTCTCTAGTCAAATTGATTGAAAGGATTGATCACACCTCTCACTTGTGATCTTTCAGTGGTTTCTCAGCGCTTTCACTACCAAACTCAAACTCTCTGTTACTATCGATCCCTGCCTGTTCCTTTGCCTTCATCTGGACCACTCTCCTTTAGCCATCCCGTTATTTGCAGTTCCCCAAATGCATCATGCTCATTCATACTCCCTTACGCACAAGTTTTTTCCTAGGCCTTAGAAGCTCTTCTCTTCCTCTCCCTCTTCTTGTTCCAACTCCTCCTTCAAAATGAAGCTTAAATATCATCTCTAGGAAGCCCATACTGTGTGCGGCAACCTCCATGGATTTTAACTCAGCCTGCCCACCCTACCCTGTGAGTAGCTCCAGCACAGCACTTAATTCACAACGCTGTAATTTTTTACTTGTCTGTCTCCCTCACTAAGCTCACTGAAGGGAGACACTGTTTTACATAACTACTAATCTCCAGCAGCTAGCACAGTAGTTGGCATTACTGAAAGAATAAATTGATAGTAATATGCAGTTGTCCCATTTTACAAATTAGATATGTTCCTTAAAAGTGAGTAGATCAAATCCAGTTATTGAAATCAGTTGAAATTTACTAAGGAACTATCTGCTATAAGGAAAACCAGTATTCAGTGCCTTAGCAAAGCAAATAACCTCCAACTTTAGCTTTTCTCTACAGCTAGCAGTATTTAGGGCAAGGCAAATTTATCTGTGTATTTCTCAGACAGCCCAACTAGTACACTAAAAACTTTCTACTTTCAGCACCATTTAAAAAATAAGTATATATATAAATATATACGTACCACATCTCTAAGTACTTGTGTCACTGTCGAATTTGCATTTCCTCCTTTAATCAGCATAGCATTTTTAATATTTTCACTGAGTTTTGGTTCTCTCTTCTCAAGGAATCTCTTGGCTCTTTTTGTTTTAGGCTTTCTGTTCAGAAAAATCACAATTTATAACAGCTTAAAACATTTTCCTCACTCACAGACATAGAAAACAAACTTACGGTTACCGGGAGGGGGAGAGGGTTGGAAGGGATAAATTGGGAGTTTGAGATTTGTAGATACTAACTAATATATATAAAACAGATAAACCGTAAGTTTATACTGTATAGCACAGGGAACTATATTCAATATCTTGTAGTAACTTATGGTGAAAAAGAATATGAAAATGAATATATATATGTTCCTATGACTGAAGCATTGTGCTGTACACCAGAAATTGACACACTGTAAACTGACTATACTTTAGTAAAAATATATATTAAAAACCCCCAACATTTTCCTCATATTACAAAACCATAACTTACGTGCAAATTCTTAAAAACCAAGAGACATTACATAACATTTATCAGGATTCTACCACTAAACAAAACCTCATTTCTTAAGAGAAATATTAGTTAAAAGATACTCCATTATTACTCTTAAATAAGTGTTCATTTTATTTGCTTTTGGTCTTTTAAAAAAGATTTTTATATTCTTGGCATTCTTTTACTACTGCTTTTTTTCTAAAGATTTTTATTTAAAAAAAAAAAGGACTCAAGTGAATAATATTGTTATTTTTCACTCCATTACTTTATCTTCAATCTTAAGGCAGTCAAAACAGTACTCTGCACCATAACACAAAGAATTGCACACCAACTGCTAATCAACCTGTGGGCAGCTACTAAACACAAGGAGTCTGATTGTTGCTGATCTTTCCTCCAGGAAAGACAACACCACCTACCAGGAAGTATATACTGCCCTACTCCAACATCACTGCTGAGAAAGTCAAACATTATTGCCACCAAATGGGAATAATGACTGACACTTTCATAGTCATTCTACTAAGGTTTAATCTTTTCCAGGTGAGGCAGCTAAGGCTAGAGAGGTAATCTGTCCAAGGTCACACAGCTTGCCAAGTAATCCCATCTTCAAAATGAACTACATTTAGAAACCATCTAGACCTGACTAGATGGAGAAGTTGTGGTGTGTATGTATATGTATGTATGTATGTATGTATGATATATATATAATATACACACACATACACAATGGAATATTACTTAGCCATAAAAAGAGTAAAACAATGCCATTTACTGCAAAACAGATGGACCTGGAGATCATCATTCTAAGTAAAGTAAGCCATAAAGAGAAAGAAAAATACCATATGATATCACTTATATATGGAATCTAAAAAATAAAGACAAACTTATTTACAAAACAGAAACAGACTCATAGACAGAAAACAAACTTACAGGGGGTGGGGTGCGGGTAGGAAGGGATAAACTGGGAGTTCAAGATTTGCAGATACTAACTACTATATATAAAATAGATAAACAACAAGTTTCTACTGCATAGCACAGGGAACTAGAGTCAAAATCTTGTAGTAACCTATAATTAAAAAGAATATGAAAATGAAGATATGTATGTATATGTGTGACTGAAACATTATGCTGTACACCAGAAATTGACACAACATTGTAAACTGATTATACTTTAATTAAAAAAAAAAACAACACCTAGACCAATCACTGCAAAATATGAAGGGAAAACAAATCCATTATTCTGATTTTATGATGGGAGAGCAGTAGAATGTTTTTATACATTTATGTTCAGAAAGAGGGCTTCACCTCTGCTTTCACTACAGCGAGAATCTTAATTTTCTAACAGTTCTCTGCCATCTATTGAAAGAATTCTTTCTTGAATAACTGACCCTCCCTCCTTCCGGTCCCACAGACACTTGCAGAAAGAAAAAAATACACACACACACACACTTACTTTACCAAGCAGACTTTAAAAATTCTCCTCCAGATAAAATGTTAAGCACATATAAAGCCTCTAATCATTTATTAGTTGATGAGGATGTACATTATTTAAGTCAAATCAAGAGATGCAGTGTGTCTATACGGCAATAAAAGTGTGTATGTTCTACATGCCATGTAGTTTTTACTTCTCACTAACCAGCAACTAATGCAAATAACACCTTGTACGTTTTATTAGCTGTTTGTCCTCCAGACAGTAAACTAATCTTACTCATCTCTGCAGTCCCCACACCTCGAGGAATTTAGAGCAGATGTGCAAAAACTCCCGAATTAAAGACCAAGAGAAGAATCTGTCGCTTTGATTACATGTTAACGCGGGTAAATCACAAAAAAAAAAAAACAGAAACAAAAACCATAGCAAACAACAGCAAAACTATTTAGGAGACTGGTAAATATTTTCTGAACGAATTTAAGATACTACACATGGATAACTGGGAGAAGTGTACAAGTTTGGGGAAGAGAAAAAGCTAGTGAGCTACTTCTACGTGCGGTGGCAAAGGCTTTTCCTATATTCTCGCAAATAATCCTCACAGCTGTAAGAAGTATGACTATTATGAACGCTATTTTACAGAGTAAACTGAGACTTAGGGAGAATAGCCCAGTCGCAAAGTTTAAGTGGACACGCCCGGACTGTTTCACCTAGATCTGTCAGATTCCGAGGCCTGTGCTCGGAACCCCTCAGTCTACCACCTTCCTCACACACCTGCGGAAGCCAAGGCAGTTCTAACTGGCTAGGAGAGAAGCAGCCAGCGCCTCGGTGCCACCTCCACCCCGCGGCCCTACTCATGGCCTTCCCTGCTCCCGTCCCCCCCGCAGGCGGCACGAGCAGAGGGAGACCCAAGCTAGTGGGTCGATCCTCCCCGACTGGCAACCGGCGTGAGGAAGGAGAGGAGACGGCCAGAAGGCGCGGGAGACAGAGGCTCGGTCACTCCATCGGCTGCAGGAGCCCCTCTCCCCAGCGTTACCCGGGGAAGGTCCCGGCGGACTTACACAACTCGATCCAAGGCGTCCATCGCTAATGCAGCGCGAACCCGGCGAACACACGTGCCCCGCGCGGCTACCAGAGATACAGCTATGCCCGGAACAGACGGAACCGGAACTTGCGCATGACGCCACTTCCTGGGGCCGCCGCCTCACGGCCGCCTGGAGGCGCCCGCGGCCATTTTGGGTGAAATAGCGCTCTGCTCCCTTGGTTACAGGTTTTTGTTTTTCCACTTTTCCCGAAATTAACGCTCTTAAGTAACATGGCCTCTAACAGCTTGATGTACACAGTGGTGTGTATACGCGGAATCATATTCAGGAACCAGGTGTTATTCATCTGGGAATCACAAGGATGCTAGAAAGGTTGACAGTATGGTAGGTACTCACATAGTCATTAAAATGATCAATGTGAAATGTGCACTGTTTAGTGGACTGTGAAATCAGTGAAGCAGAATTTATAACAGCCACAACGTCTAGCTATAAGAGGTGTGCAGAAATTAATACTACTGACCGTAAAAATACTCTCCACTATTTTTTTTGGAGGGGGAGGTAATTAGGTTTATGTAAGTTTTTAGAGGAGGTACTGGGGATTGAACCCAGGATGTCATGCATGCTAAGCATGTGCTCTATGAGCTATGCACTTGAGCTATACCCTCCCCCCTCATTTTAAATTACCTTAAACTTCATACACCATGTTACCCCTGTAAAGTGTACAACTTAGTGGCTTTTAGTATATTAACAAAGATGTGCATTCATCACCACCATGTAATTCCAGAACATTTTTACCAGCCCTCTCGTAACTCAGTAGCACTCCGCACTTTCTACCCTTGCCAACCCCTGGCAACTAATTTATGTCTCCATAGGTTTGCCTACTGAGAACATATAAGTGGTTTCAAACAATGTATGGCCTTTTGTGTCTGGCTTATTTCACTCCGTGTTCATACGGGTTCACGTTTAAAGTTCATATATGTTGTAACATGTCTCAGTACTTCATTCTCAGTACATTCATTTATTTATTTAAAACAAATAATAGTCCATTCTATGGATATACCATATTTGTTTATCCATTCAAACATTTATGAACATTTGCATCCCCATCTTTTTACTATTATGAATTATGCTGCTTTGAACATTCATGTACAAGTTTTTGTTTTCAGTTCTTTAGGAAGAGTTCATTAGAAAGCTTGTTCAGGTTCAAATAAGCTGTTAGAACAAAAGGAAATGAAAACAGTAACTTCTAAAGAATTATAAATTGCTGCTATATGAATAGAGAAGCACAAATCAAGTTTCACTAAGCTGGCCATATCTGTCAATAAATTTATGATCAGTTATGTAATACATAATGAACAAATGGATAGATTTCTCCAACATTTTTATAATGGCTTTCAGGAACAATTCTCCATGAATTATCACATATCAATATTATCCTTTTAAGTAGAACACCATTATTTGTAAACAAAAGCCACCCACTGAATTCAATGTCAGAAATAGTATTTAGTGTGGCTGCTATATAGAGACTGTGGTTTCAGGATTAGTTTTTAGGTTAATTCTAATAAGTGAGCAGATCAATGATGGAGAAATTCATATATGAAGTTCTAATTTTACAAAACTGAGATTTTTTTCCCGTTTTTAAAAAACTGAAGTATAGTCAGTTTAGTACTGTGTCAATCTCTGGTGTATGGCATAATGTTTCAGTCAGACATACACATATATTCATTTTCATACCTTTTCATTATAGACTACTACAAGATATTGAGTATAGTTCCCTGTGCTATTTGATATAAGCTTGCTGTTTATTGTATACATAGTAGTATCTGCAAATCTCGAACTCCCAATTTATCCTTTCCCACTTCCTTTCCCCCTCTGTAGCTGTAAGTCTGTTTTCTAAATCTGTGGGTCTGTTTCAATTAAGATTTTATTTTAATAAATTCCAAACATTTATTAATTGGTAAGAAGCTAAAATACATCATGTTGTCTTTAGAATGAGATTTTATTATCCTCTTCAATTTAAGGTAGAACTATATCATAGTCTAGATCAGTTTAATTTTGCAAGATTACAAATCTCAAGAATCCTGCACTCTACTTCCTTATATTTTTCAAAATGCACCATGTATCAACTAGGCTTAAGTGTGGCTGTTACAGACACTTAAACAAGAGAGAAGTTATTTGTCCCTCATATAAAAGACCAAAGGTAGGTAGTTGTAATGCATTCTCTGCCTGTACAGCAGTAGTCCGAAGTTTGGAATGGCATTGACATTCACAGGACCCAGTGGGCCATACACTGGGCTCTAGGCACTAGACTCACTTAACTTTATAGGAAATAGCACAGCAGCATGAGGCTTGGCTCGGTAGGAGTCTTTACTCCAGCTGCCCAAGTATCAGCTCAGGTGTGAGGAAACAAGATCATGTTGATCTGACACTGGCTTAGGAGCTTCATACTCCCCATGAAGCAGTATCACTAGAAACAGTCCATGATTGTAGCTTCCACGGATCTTTGTTATAGAAGATAGAGCACTTAAGAAAGCCTTAAGCCCATGTCTTCCAATAGGCATTTGTAGTTCTTATTAGTTTTCCTGGTCCAGATACAATTTACTAATAAGGAGTCATTTTTAATCATGAACAATATTGCCTGGCATCACAGCTGACATTCTATTATTACCCTGCCAAGTAGATTTCCAGAGAAGACAGTGCTGAAACATAAACTTGAGGTCATTTTACAAGGAGAGAAGCTTTACTAACCCTCTTTATTCACAGCAGTCCAGGGCAACACCACAGTTCATGATCCAATCTTCCATCTTACTGCTCTGCTAATCATGGTTTCTATTTCCAAGGTTACTTCATAATCCAAGAAGCCTGCTGGAGCTCTAGCAACCACATTCATGTTCCAGCAGAACAGAGAAGATGTGCTGGTTCATTTCTCTTTATGCCTTAAATATTAAGGAAATTTCCCAGAAGCATCAATCACTCAACACTCCTAATTCCATGTTGCTGGCCAGAACTTAGTCATATGGCTACTTTTATATATGCTAAGGAAGCTGGGCACATTATTAACCTGAATAAACTCTGGGATTCTGTTACAAAAAAAAAAAAAAAAGGAAGACGAGATATGGGGTCAGGTAATTAGCAGTCTCTCCTCATACATATGGTGGAAAAAGTACGCTTTTGATTAAACAAAAGCTGAGACTAAAGTCAGATAAAAATTAGGAAGATATACATGCTTATGATTTGGAAATACTTTTAATCAGGGTAAGTTGTTTTCCAATTAAATAGTAAAAAGTTACAAAACTTACTGAAGGAAAAAATTCCTCATTCTAGAACATTAGAATTACGATCAGAATTAGAATTAGAATCTGTCACAACAAAGTTATGTTATCCTCAACAGTTGTGAGATGTAATTAATGTGATGTGTGTTTGAACTTACTAAGTACCGGGTTAAACCATATGACATTGCTGGTTTTTGTAGTCAGAAACAAATATTGGCTATTTCATACAGTTCAAACTGTATCAAAGTTATATGAATAATCTACTTTAAAAAATACAAGTTAGAGCAGATATAGGTTATCACCATAGTAGAATGACTTATCACAGCTGAATTCCAATCTTTCTTCAGTGGGAAAGGAGTGGAATTACACTGGAATATCAGGAACTATACTTTTATCCTTAAGCACTTCTGAACTATTTTAATGTTCTCAGAAGTAACACTGACTTTGGTAGACTGGAAAGTGGCCCCCTCCCCAAAATTTTCATGCCATAATTCTGTTTTATGCCTATTTAAATTATATGACAAAGGGGACTTTGCAGATGGAATTAAGGTTATAGACCTTAAAACAGGCAAAGTACCCAATGTAATCAAATGGATCTTTAAAAGTAGGAGGCAGAAGGGCCCATCAGTGACAGGATGATGGAAGGAGAGATTCAGAGAGTGAGAGGGACCTGACCATTGCTGGCTTTGAAGAGAAGGGGACCATGAGTCAAGGAATGCAGGCAGCCTTCTACAAGAGGGGAATGCCTCTAGGCCCACAGTAAGGAAATGGGACCTTGATCTTTCAATCGCAAAGAACCGAATTCTGCCAACTGAATAAGCAAGGAGATGGAGTCCCCTACCCCACCTCCAGCCTCCAATAAAGAATGAAGTTCCACAAATACCTTGATTTTAGCCCAAGTGAGACCCATGTGAGACAGCTGACCTACAAAATGTAAGACAATGCACTTAGGTAGTTTAAGCCAGTTTTAAGTTTGTGGTAATTTATGATGGCTGCAAAAGAAACTTACACACTTACCTTAGTAAAACCTCCAATTTAAAGGACTCACCATAGAAGGGTCACTATGGTCATATAAACCATATTTTAAAAAACTCGTATCTGGTCCTTAATAATTCTGGTATATCAAACTGTGCTGTAATTGGAAATGTGTGTATAGCCAACAAAAATAATGAAATTATGAACTGAAAGCTATAAAGCCAATTATCTTATATAAAACACTAAACAAACAAACAAACAAAAAAACCCTAAAAAGTTCATGACTAGTTATTACGAGAAACTTTTCATCTAGGGGTGACTTCTAAGGCAGTATCTTGAGTTTCCGTAAAAACAGAGCCTTCTGTCTCAGAAGAAGGGATATCAATAAGAGGACCAGAATCCTCTGTTTCCAAGTTTGGTGGTTTCCCCTGTTCATAACTTAGGTTTGAATTATCTTTCATTTTAATCTCTTGCTCTTCCAACTCCAAAGGTTTATCTGGGTCCGGAGCTACAACTTCTTCATCTTCATTTTCATGCAGAAAACTACAAATCATGTTAGGTCTATAGGAGAAATCATTGTCCTTGATCTGCAGCCATTCCACACCACCTAATGGAGGAGGGAGGGATGGGAGAACAAAACAAGAAACATGAAAAATAATTTCAGTTGCTTAAATATATTTTTAATTTAAATGTTCATCCTATGAGTATTTATCAAAATAAAACCCCAACATAAAGCAAGGAACATGATGCCTGTACCTACTGATAAATAATCGTGTAATTTCCATCTTACTTGGAGACCCTGGAATGTCTGTGGGGTATGTATCATAAATATCACTAAGAGTAATCAACTTCAGTTACTATTCTAAGCCCCTTTTACCAGAGTCCAATTCTCAACTCATTCTGAGAGATAATTTTAGCTCCCACTGCCATCTCTTCCCTTGAAAATTTTGTCACTTCCCTACAGTTTTCTCCTTACCCACTCACTTTTCATAATACAATGGATGATACTACTCTACCATCTTCTAAATTAACACATATCTGTCATTTTGAGTTGGAAAAATCAAATTATGAAATAAGACACCTCTCCCCCCCAAAAAAAACCTTGAAAAAAATTTTTGTTCCTTTCCATATTCACAAAGTCCTTACCCCTCAATGAACTCCCATAATCAAGAATTGCTCCTACTAAACTCAAAAAAAAATTGCTCCAATAATGCTAGCCATTTTTATCATTATGACCCTTTCAGCCAAGTATTTTCAAAAGGATCTTCAATTTCTAAGGCAAGCCCAAGCTGTTTACTCTTATCTTCAAAACTCCACTAGATATCTCTATGATACCCCAACCTATCTTGCCTCCCTGTTCACGCATCCATCTCTTCCTATTCCCCATTACAAAACTAACTCTTCTACAGCTGTTTGTTGAAATATCTTTACTGCTGATCCCACATCTTCTCCCAAGTGTTACTACTATAAAGTCTCTCTCTTTCAAAAATTGATTAGTTCTTTCCCCTCCAGTTCAGCTTCAGTTACTGACTTTCATATTTTTTCTTGCGATAACATCATTCTCCTAGTCAACAAGCTCAAAACTTTAAAGATTTCCCGAAGCCTACTCTGTTATTGAGCACAATATTTGGCACGTAAGAGATACTTAGAATAAGTTGAGTGGAATGGGGGTCGAGTCACAGTCATTCATGTCTGTTTCAATATAATTTACCTTAGAATGCAAGTTCCTAGAAAGTAAGGATCACATCTGTCTATTTTGTTCTGTCTCCAGCATCTTGCGATATTTGGTAGCTGACCTCCAAGATGGTCCCCGGTGATCCCCTCCTACCTGATATGCATGCCCCTGTGTTGTCTCCTCCCACATGGAATAGGATATTGCAAAAATGGAAGAATGTAACTTAATGTAACTTCTAAGGATAGTTCATAAAAGACACTGTGGCTTCTACCTTGTTCTCAAGGATCACTTGATCTGGGAAAGCCAGCTGCCATGTCAGTAGGGCACTCAAATAGTACCATGCAGAGTCAAGGAACTGAGGCCTTGTGCTAACAGCCAGTGCAAACTTGTCAACCATGTGAGTAAGCCATCTTACAATTAGATTTTCCAGCCTTACTTAGGCCTTCAGATGACTGCAGCCTCATGAGGGGCCCCAGCCAAGACGAGCCAACTAAGCTGCTCCCAAATTCCTGATTCACAGAAACTCTGTAAGATGGTGTTTTGTTATTCTTGTTTTAAGCCATTAAATTTAGGGGTAATTTTTTATGCAGCAATAGATAACCAATACAGCCTTGAATAGTTGGTTACTAATTTATTTATTAAATGAAACACCCAAATCTTCCCAAAGATCTATTAGATTATTAAGGACTATAGCAGGCAAAACTCTATAACTTCCTTTAAAAAGAATATCTAAATGATAGCTAAGCTATCTTGTATTTATCTGCCTTTCAAGTTAATTGTAGAACTTCAAGTGCCTCCTTCTTCCTATTATTTTCAGAGTGCCGAAAAAAAGGGTTAGCTGTGGGATATACATGATACAAAGATTTGTTGTATAGTTATGTGTAGTTGGTATAATTAATTTTTAAATGATTACTGTACCTTCAAATATTTATTCCTCAGAATACAATAAGTCAAGCCATAAATATTCACCAACAGGGTCTTATTTACTAGAATTTCAAATATGTCTTTGAGCAATGAGCCTTTTTCATTTTTATTCTTTGGCAGGCAAACACCTTTATTCTGACCGTGTCCCAAATTCCCCAGGGCAGGAGAAAGAGGTTGGTGCAGTCAGTAGCAACGAGTTTTTAAACCATCAAGTGATTATCTGCTCATCTCTGCAAACATGTGCCTGCTATGGGTGCAAGAAGCACTGGCCTAAAGTCTCCAGTCTGGAGGTGGCTAAACGGATGCTTATTAAGAACAAGACTCAGGACCGAACAGCTGTGGTCCCAGCATCCCTCCCTCAAAAAGCCAGCTTTTCCCAGTTGTGAGCTTCCTGGGGAAGGCTGCTACCCATGCCAGAAGTTCAGGACATCCTGTGGGGTGACTCCTTGGGAATCCAGAACTGCTATGATCATACCTTCTGTACTTACAAAGACGTTCTATTTAAAAAGAAAGAGAGGAGACTGCTGAATTCCCAAGGGGTTGGAAATCATGTCAAGTTTCTTGACCAACTCCTACAATTGTATGCAATGCAAAGCAGACTGAGATTTCTTCTATGCCTCAAGTGCCCTCTGCAATGTAAGAACTCACTTAAATTTTAAATCTACATTGGGTACCCTCAATTTTAATATACTTAACCCATCACGCATAGTTGCTACTACAAAGTACAAAGACAGTCCCGGCAGCAATGTGTCATTGTCAAAGCCAGTATTAAATCTCCTATTTTCCTGAGAACTAAGGGAACTAACCTATGTTTTCTTCTCCTTCCTTCTTTTCTGTCAGAAGAGTTCTTGTCATGCTGAGCTTCTTCATTGTGTGGCATTTATATTTTAGCACTGTTTTATTATTGCCTTCCGCATCCGCTAGAACATAAAATGAATGCAATTACTATACTGCTTGATGTCATCAAATAATCATGTTAAGCTTCAAAGATTCCAGTTTAGAGAGTTACACTACTTCCAGTCAAGATAGTGTAGTAAGTTCAAGATTTAACTCAATCCTCTTGCTCTAAGTACAGAGAAATGACAGATAAAATACATAAAAACTGAAGGCAAAAGTGAACTCAAAAACAACAAACCTCTCCAGGGGACAGAAACACAAAGCTGTGAGTGAGACTAAAGCTACAGGCTGTTAGGCTTCACCCCTAAAGTAGGAAAAGTGGTGCAGGAATTTGGCCTTCCAGGGAGGTCTAAAA